ACAGTAGAACCTTGTTAACACTGAGTGTATACACTTCTATATTACTAGAAGTTAGAGTTTGTAGGTAGAGGTGCTAACCTTCTTTTTAATAACAAAGGGTCTGAAGCACTTGTTGTCTAACTTCTTTATTAGGTGATCCATAGTCAGGTTAGTAGCTTCTAGTATAACTTTGTCCCTAGGCTAGTAATCCTTAGTTACAGATCTCTTCTGATTGTAGTTCTACTTTATTACTTGTACTACCTTCTTTAAAAGAGCTTGTGTGTCTTCTCTAGTCTTGTGTATTCATTCTGTAAAGTCTGTTACAGATTCAGAACTATTATTCTAGTTCAGAACTGTCTCCTAGTATGAATGTCTCTCATAATTGAGGAAGAACAGGGACTGTCCTGTTGTAGAGTGTTGCTAGTTATTATACATGAATTCTGTTAGAGCTAACTATTCAGACTAGTCTGACTGTTAATAATTGATAAACATTTAGAGATAGAGCTCAATCTTCTGATTGACTTGCTCAGTTTGACTGTCAGTCTGTAAGTAATATGTAGTAGAAGGGTTCTCTTGAATTCTGAGAAGTGTATACAAGTTCTGTATAAATTTCAACTCAAATTGTAGTCTACAATCATGAATGAGTTTCTGAGAGAGTCTGTACAACTAGAAGACATGATTTTAATAAATGTACACTATACCTTCAGAAGTGAGTTCTGTTCAGGTTGGAACCATATAGACTTACTTAGAGAATCAGTCAACAATCATACAGATAGTGTTATAACTCTAAGACTCAGGTAGCTTACTAATCAGGTCTACTAAGACTTCTTCCTAAGAGTGATCTAGGATTCAATACAGATGTAAGAGAGTCTAAACCCTTGTCTAGTAGGTCTTAGTCTGTTAGTATGTATTGTAACTAGTTACATACTTTAGGATTTCCCTCTACATTCCTAGCTACTAGTAGTTCTGAGTAATGAGTTTCTGTGTTTTGTGTTAGTCTAAATGTCTTACAGTCAGATTGTTGTAATGAGCTCAGACAATGTCCTCCTACAGCTTCTAATCCTTCAGAACATACAGTTGGCCTTCCTAGTAAACCTGTCTATCCTTATCCTCCTCCTAATCCCTAGCCTCCTTCTCTAACTACTTTACTACAACCTAGTCCTATGTGTGTCTCAGAGCTTACTATATGTAAGTGACAAAGTTAACATTCTTAGATTTGAGTCAGATCTCTTGAATTGTCTCAGACACAAAACAGGAATTGTCTAAGAGAACAAGATTTTTGTTATTATTCTCCCTCCTTTTGTGACCTACTTGTCTTGAAAGTAAATCAGCTTTTGTCATTTGTGTTCTAAGTTTGTGAGTCAGTACAAAGTTATAGTTCTACAGTTCTAACATCTAGTAGGCTTAGTAGTAGTTAAGCTTCTAAGGTGCCTAAAAGTACTAGAGATTAAGGTGATCACTCTATATCTCAAACTTCTGTACAGTACTAAGAAGATATTAACACTACTCCTCTAGGGAACAGACAATTGTAAGGAGTTCCTTATTATAGATAGAGTAGTTCTGTTTTGTTACAGAGAGGGATTCTGATCAGAACACTATCAGACACTACTTTCTGTCAATAAACTGAGACAGTACTACTCTATTCA